TTTCTGTCTCCAATTACTTTCCTTAATATCAGTAAGTCTTTTAATCTGATCAATAAGTGCCACTTCATGCAATCTGAGGTCCAGGTCAGTAGGATTTGAGTCCAGACTGAGTTGACATGAACATTGCTCTTATTTTACTGCATGTATTCTGCCAGAGAGTACACTCATGGGCTTTGAACAAGCATGCTAAAGTGGTTTGTTAAGGTTTTTCAACTTGTTAACAACTTGGTACATAGAGTTGCCTCTTAAAAAACCTCTCTAGACATGAGATACTGTGGGAATGATGGCATCAGTTGAGCTCCAAGTATTGAAAAATCTGAAACGAAGTTTCCTTCTACTGACTAGGTCACCAAGAGAAATGAGAGCTGGTGAGTGGTCAGACAATCCAAGCGCCAGAAATGTGTAGTGTGAGTTTGGAAAAGTGATATTCAATCTACTGGTTGTTTATCAAAGCTCTATCAAGCTTCCTGTAGATGTTGGCATTCTCAAAGCTCTTGTTGTTCCAAGTATAGAAAAACTCAAAGAAACTGAGATCATCAAGCTCTGCATCCAAGATGCAATTACAGAAATATATCACATATGGATTTTTGGCATTACACCCTTTAAAACTTTCGAAAAGAAGTTTAATGGCATTGAAATACCCAGCCAGAAGCCAAGGGGAAAGGTGGTTGCTAGAAGAGAATCTGACTATATTTTCCTACAAAAGTTGTATGTCTACTACAATATTAAAAACATAAACAATAGACATTAAAAAGTGCGTGTTAGAGTTTAGAATGTGTACAGATAAATTCATAATATGGTTGTAATCATTTAAAACATTGATGTCAACATTTGCTGAATTCCACAAAATCCATATTCTGCCCAAAATGGAGTGATTATAATTATAGGCAAGCAGCTCCTAACAATAAAGTTTAAAAATAAATCATATTGGAGGGGTTCACTTTGGCTTCCAAGTTTGTTAAAATATCCAGGTTATGCTCAACAATCGATTCTTTACTTCCACCTATTTAGCGAGTTGATTTCTATATAGCCATGACAGTCATGGCCAATATGGTTTGAAGCGACCCTCAAGGCTTGAAGGCCTCTTCAATGGTGTGTTAGCACCCTTTTGAGATGACTTAGACTTTATAATGCTCTTGGCAGCCTTCTTCTTGGTTTTCATTCTTCCTTCCATACTCTATGAGAAGCTGGTGTTTGTGTCTTTTAACTGAGAAAAGTGAGATAAGGTATGGAACTGATTGTGTGTAGAAGGTAAAGGTGCAATACTATTGAAGTGTATAGCAGAGGGAGAAATTTCCACAATAAGTTTACCTTTCCCATTATTAAAGAAGGTATGGGTGACCACTGTTTTTGACTGGGGTGAGTGAGACTCCTTGTTTGGGGAGGAAAATGTCGAGGATGATGAAACAAGTTGCTAGTAATGTGTTTCTGCTTATGGTATGAAGTAGATGTGGAATGGTTAAGTTTAGGTGAAGAAGCCATGGATTTACCAGTGGGTGTAGATGGTGCAGAGTTGTGGGTGGGAATAGGGATTTGTGGGCTTGGTTCATTAGCTAAAGTAATGGGGGCTTTGTTTATCTTTTTAACTACCTTTCATTCAGTTGCAGGTTTGTAAGATGCAATAAAAGCATTAACGGAGTCCGTTTGGTAGACACACCCCAATCATCGGGTAGGGAGAATTTTGGAGTCTTACTAAACTGTTGACATTGAACCTCTCTACAGTGCTCTGGTCATGGGGTCTAGCATCCTTCCTTTTTTATGGTATCATTGGTTGGATTCCAGTTTTTCTCCACTCTAATGGTGACATAATCATCATTCTTAAGCTTGAGTTTGGTTGATTCAATCAAGGTGGTCTTGGAGGCCATATCCACACATATTCTTACAAAATCCAACACTTTCCTCCCTTCAGTTGCAACAGCAACAAATAAAGGCTTGCCTATGGTATCGGCAATAAGACTCAGGCCCTTCCCAGTCAAGAATTAAAGAGGGACTCCATAGAGTTTGATCCACCTAGGAAAGGAAGATGAGGGATTTGTAGTGGTGCTTTGATTCTCACTCAATTTTCAGAGGATCGATGATGTGTTTTCGTCCCATAATCTATGGGCCACCAACCAAAACCTTATTGTAGTAGGTAACATTATAAAAAAGGAGGAAGAATTTTTGTTGATCTGCAAAAACCTCTTTCAACCCAAACTTAGTCCAATATTTCAAAGCTAATGATTTGACTAGTTAAAAAAAGAAGTTTTTTCTGGTGGAAAAACCCCACAAGGCATGCATTCCATAAGCTGGCTCCTTCCTCAGCTATCTCATATGGAGGATTAAGAAGAGTCTCTGTCTCGGTATGGTTGGTAGTTATCTTGGTGAGATCCACAAATTCAAAGCTATCTCAGCTTCCTCAGCTATCTCATATGGAGGATTAAGAAGAGTCTCTGTCTCTGTCTGTGTCTCGGTATGGTTGGTAGCTATCTTGGTGAGATCCACATCTTCCATAATCCCGTTCCAAGTCCTTTGTGAGCCTCTCAATCTGGTGTTAAGGTGAATCATATATGAGAGAGTTGAAATTCTTTGGGACTTTACTACTATGAGGAATGGTAAATGTGGAGGAGCTAGGTTTCCTTTGGTTTGTATTGGGGAATGGGTGGGTGGTACAGTTGTAAATGTTGTAGAGGGATTATGGAAGATGAAGATGGTTTATTAGGGAGAGAGTGAGATTTAGATAGAGGTTTAAGTTCAAGGGTGGACATAACATATGTATGAATGAGCAAATTGTCTCTTAAGAATGCTTTTGGATGATGATGTACCAATAGATTTGCTATGTGGGGGGTAAGTGGGTGGTTTAATTAAGGTGGTTGGGAACAGGATTCCGACGAGGAAGAGGAGGTCGATCTCATGGTGAAAGCTTGCCTCTCTCTCGACGTATGTGTATTTCCCTCTTATTAGTATCAATTGTTGTTGATAATACTTTGTAAACCGTTGAGTTGGTAAATGTTAAAATTGATGTTATTCAGTTACCGTCGATCCATTCACATGTTCTATAGAGGTATGTGCTTCTCATATTTTCAAATTTAATTATTGGGCTAAATTAATCACAAGTGGGATTCAATTGAAATTTAAAATCCATAAAAGAAAAAAAAAATTAATTAATATATTGGCGGCTAAATCACTCTACTACTTTTTATTTTCCTAATTGAAATAATTGGAATGATAAAAAATCAAAAAAAAATTGAATTAATTGCAGAAAATGTACAGTTAATTTCTTTCTTTTCTTTTCTTTCTATTCTTATAAACAATCAACATAAAATGCAGGATTAAGAAAAGTCTCCTTATTAATTTCTAGATGGCCCGGGACAAGATGAGGACATCTGATTTGTGAAATCTGCAATATCACTCAGCCTAATAAACCAATAACTGCCACAGAAACTTGTTGGGCCAATAACTGCCACGAAGCCATCGAAGCGATCACAGGAGCAACATGAACAATATCACTCTCTTATTGTAACAATCAATAAAAAGCATGTTTTGAGATCGAAGTGACTAAATTAAAAAAAAATTCGGATTGCACAATTATAGTCCCTAATGCCAATCCAACTTGATGAACTCGTAAATCTTATTTATCAAATCCATTTAAAAATAACAAATTTGTGACCAATTCATGCATGATTAAATTAGCTCTATCAACTGATCATTAATCTTAATTTTTCTCTCTCTCTTTGATCTCTTTGTTTTCTCTCCCTTTTTGGTACTAACCACATGCAGCTTATGGATCATCAGAATAGTTCTCTCTTTGAAGAGTTTGCTGCATATTGTATTCAACCCATGATGAATTGTCCTTAATTATGGCCTATTTTGTTACCATTAATACCCATGAAATGCATCAAATTTAAAAATATAGAACTCAAATAGAGTACTAGATATGCTAAAGTTCTAATCAATCAATGATTAGTTTGGAGGATAGCCGTTGCTAACGGCGTTAACCGTTAGAAATGGATGTCCTAACAATTCCGGTAACTAAGCTGCTTCCAGCCCCCTTGATGCTTCACCTCTGTTCACTGATCAGGAGGGAGTGGTGGAGGACGAGCTGCGACTGGAGAATAAGATCATTCCAAAGCAAATTGAGAGTAGGAATCCTTGTGGCGAGATCTTAGAGCTTCAGCAACTGAATTACATACAAGCTTTAGCACAGATGATTGAGAAGAAGGGGAGGATCTGAATATCCTATTGTTCCTTTCCTGCCAAATGTGATACACCATGGAGGCAAGGGCTAAACGGCATATATCTATTCTGGGGGAAGAGTGATTCGTGGTGAGCAGTCCAGAAGGCAAATTGAGGCCAACTTTCACTTCTTGTGTAAAAACAACATTTGTATTGAATGAACTTCCATAAGGGGGAGACAAAATTCACAATCAAAGAAAAGGTGAGAGTGTGATTCGGGTAGGATTGAGCATAGGTGGCATACATTAGCAGAATCAAGATAAGACATACATTTGGAGTTCAATGTGGAGAGTTTGGATTGAGCTGCAATCCACTGAATCATTTTGTGTTTAGGGATGGCCATGGAGTTCCATACCAGGTTTGACCAAGGTACAGGGTAGTGGGCTCGGGAAATGGCTGCTATAGTATGCTTAAGGCTATATTTTAGCATGCAGAAGGAAAATCAAAATCAAAATTCTAAGAAACTAGTAATCAAGATCATTAATTCAATTCAATGATCAATTCCACATAATATACAATACATATAATATAAAAGCAAAGAAGAGGTTCCGTGGATTAGTCCGGACAAAGTCTTGTACACCTTAATTATCGAAAAAAAAAAAAAAAAATTTAAGAGCAATTAATTATATGTTTATCTGAAGATTTCGAAAAAAAATAAAGCAATTAATCCTTAAAAAGAAACTAGTATTTTGATATTAATGTTTGTACAACTTGCAATACTGACAAAAAAATAAAAACACAGCACTAATCACCATATATCTAGATCTATATAAGAAATATATAATTGATTATCCTTCATTCTCTTTCTGTTTCCATTCCAAACCTATAAATCTGCATGGTGAATACCTAATTTTATATTCGGAAATGGTCTCGAGCTTAGGTGACCAAACTTGCTCTCTAGGCCCAACCAACATATCATAGTGCTTCTTCAACTCTGGTGTGCTACAAAGAAAACTATGGCTAGGGCTAGTACCTGACTCTTCTTTTCCCCCTTCTAGTTCCTTCCCTCTTGTGATAAGCTTAATTATGAACTCCGGCAATACCTTGATCAACACTCTTCCATTTGAGCCCTTTATGTATTCGAATGGGCACCCTTTGAAGTTGACCGGCGCCGGTTTAGGGCTAGCGCCTAGGGCGGCCAGGGAAGAAGCCGACAGCACGTTGCATGTGAAGCAATCGAGGGGGAGAACGAGGTAGGTTTGTCCGGTCATGAGCTCGTCGTCGATGGCTAGGACTGGGATGGGGTGGCCGATGAAGAATGAGTCTGCATGGCACACCATGCGGTCCGGGAACTGGAACATGATCTCTCCGGCTAGCCGTTTTCCGGTGAGAACCCTTGTGGTTCCTTCCCATGAGATTAGCTTAACCAATGAACGTGAATTTGGTCGACAATAACATGGAGAGATTGTATTGCCCATATGAAAGAGAGAGAGAGAGAGGGGGATTAGGGTTTATGTTTATTTAGTTCAGTTGCCTAATGATGATGGAGGAAGAGGAAGAGAGAAGTGGTGTTAAATACAAGGGAAGGATTGACTTTGAGAAAAGTCTATGATTGTTTTGTGTGTGTGTTTGTGTGTGTGTGTGTGTATAAGAGTCGGTGGTGGTCAGCGATTCCGGCTTTGAACATTTATGTATCAACTTGCTTGGTGTATACAACAACTATACACATCAACTTGATTTACCTTGGACTTGTTATTACATACATATAAAAAAATCACCATATGCATATAGTATACATGGAAAATACCTCATGATCTCAGCTTTAATCCACTGTTTTAGAAGTTTTCTCTGTCAAATTAATTGCTATGATTTGGTTGCCTAATTTTGTCTCCTTCTCTCTCTTTATCGTGACACAAGAAACTAGTGATCATAATCTAGAATTAATAGTTAAAATACAATGTATGCAGTCATTTGACATTCTTGTAATAGTTGCATTTTATTTAATTATTTGATTATGTGGTTATATGATTACGTATTTAATTGAATTATTTAATTAAATATTTTGTTTGTTTAAATGTTTTATTTGACTTAACTGATTAATTGAAATTATGTGCTTGAATGTTATTTGAATTAGTTGGTTTAATTGATGCGTTGGTTATTTGTAATTAGTTGTGATTAAGTAATTAAATGTTTCATTTTGTTTAATTAATTTATTTTTTTATGGTTAGTAGTAATAAGCCAACCAATTAGATTCCCTTGACTACTTGAATAAGGGGTTTAATGGGTACGGATAAATATCCATGGATAGTTGTATGTGTATATATATATATACATATGTGTGTGTGTATATATATATATATATATATATATATATATATATATATAAGAAAAGTCATTTAGTAATAATCTAATGTATATTTATATATTTATATAATAAATACATAACATAACATATATACATAACATATATTTTAGTTACCTTTTTAGTATTTTAATTTTATTATTTTCTTTATTAATATGACTTGGATTGAGAAAAGGAGTAGAATTATTATTTAGCCTATAAATATATAACTATAGGGTTAAAAAAGGAGACTAGAAATATATCACGTAATATATTTGAGAGAGAGAGAGAGAAAGAAGGAAGAGAAATAGGAAGAAGGAGGTTAGGGTTTTTATCAAATCCCTAAAGGTAAGTTCTTATTCTACACTTCTCCTTTGATCTGTGAATTATATATCTCTAGTATAATTTTAGTGTTGTTTAAAGAATAATTAAAATTGAAATTTTATAATTTAATTGATTTAGAACATAGGTTTTCTGAATTTTGTTGATAATTGTTCTTGTTATATGAATTGATAAATTCATGGATTTGATCTGGTTTCTTTATGAATTTTTACATGTTTTAAGTGATGTAATTTCATATCTGTGTATTGATGGGACTTAGAAACATGCCTTAGAACCCTTAAATAGTAAAGAATGGATTTATAGTAGAATTTATGGGTTGAATCACGTAAACAATTTCTATCCGCTGTTACAGTGCTCGAGCCTTGGAAGCAAAGCTCGAGCCATGGATGAAAAGTTCGAGCCTTGAAAGAAAAGCTTGAGCTTTGGATGTAAAGCTCGAGCTATTGATGTAAAGCTCGAGCCATGGACAGGAAGCTCAAGTCATGGATGGGAAGCTTGAGTAATTAGGACGAAAGCTCGAGCCTTACCTAGGAGTTTTCGTAAACATCGTGTAAATTGTTTTTAATTGATTGAATTGTATTTGAAGAATACTTACTTGATTGTATAAAAAAATATCAGCATGTTTAAGATTCAGTTTGAGCAAGATATATGATATAGGAAGGTTAAATAAATTATAAGTCATTCCTATTTTGTGATAGCATGATATTCTGTTATTATGTTTATTTTTGGATTATTTAATGAACTTCTCAAATTGTTACATCAACTATTGGGTTGTGTAGATGTAATGCACCAGTATGGGATGGTGGCATTTTAGGAACGGATTAACTTATCAGTTAAGTCTTACCTATTTTTGTATAAGCAAACGGATTAACTAAAATGTTAAGTCCTACTTATATTCGTGTCAGGTAAACTGAACAAGTTGGATGATATATCGTGGTTTATTTTATATTGGATAGGATATATATATATATATATATATATATATATATATATATATATGCCATTATATGAGCTTGAGACTCAGGATTCGTGGTTAGGGTGCATATATGGCCAAGGATGTGTAACTAAATATAGTGTATTTGTATGCCCTGGTAGGTCTAGGTACTCATGCCCACTGTATGTGCGTTTTGCATGTTGCCTACTATTCAGGTTAAGGCAATCCTATAGTCTAGTGAGGTTCTTTTAGTGTGTATATGTATTTATGGACTATGTAGTTATTGCATGAGTTAGCTATAGAGAGCTTGTTCGTGCTTAGCAGAGACGGTCCACATCATTCTTTCGATTCTACGTAGGATTCTTCTTCATGTTTGTTTATGGATTTTATCTCATTTCAGTTATTTCAGTTGGGATTTTATTATAGGTCCACTAGATGAATTCCCGAATTATAATGATATCGGAGGTTTTGGTTACGTATTTGGAAGATTAAATATTTATTAATTTAAGGATTTATCATTTAGTTCTTTCCCATTATTTATTTATTCTTAATTCATTTTGTATTCTGTGTTCGATTAAATACTTTAATTGTTTGATATCCCACGAATTTGTTCACAGACTTGATCACTCATGGCTCTAGAGGAGCATTAATTATTTATTAATTTAAGGTTTTATCATTTAGTTCTTTCCCGTTATTTATTTATTCTTAATTCATTTTGTATTTTGTATTTGATTAAGTACTTTAATTGGTTGATATCCCTTAGATCTGTTTTCGGACTTGATCACCCATGATTCTAGAATTGAGAGGTAAAGGTGCAATGCTATTGAAGTGTACAGCAGAGAGAGAAATTTCCACAATAAGTTTACCTTTCCCATTATTAAAGAAGGTGTGGATGACCACTGTTTTTTACTAGCTAGGGTGAGTGAGACTCCTTGTTTTGGGAGGAAAATGTTGAGGATGATGAAAACAAGTTGCTAGTAATATGTTTCTGCTTATGGTATGAAGTAGAGGTGGAATGGTTAAGTAGAGGTGAAGAAGCCTTGGATTTACCAGTGGGTGTAGATGGTGCAGAGTTGTGGGTGGGAATAGGGATTATTGGGCTTCGTTCATTACCTAAAGTAATGGGGGCTTTGTTTATCTTTTTAACTAACTTTCATTCAGTTGTAGGTTTGTAAGATGCATTAAAAGTATTACCGGATTCTGTTTGGTAGACACACCCCAATCATCAGGTAAGGAGAATTTTGGAGTCTTACTAAACTGTTGACATTGAAAAAAAAAACAGTGCTCTGGTCATGGGGGTCTAACATCCTTCCTTTTTATGGTATCATTAGTTGTATTCCAGCTGTTCTCCACTCTAATGGTGACATAATCATCATTCTTAAGCTTGAGTTTGGTTGATTCAATCAAGGTGGTATTGGAGGCCATATCCACACATGTTCTTACAAAATCCAACATTTTCCTTCCTTCAGTTGCAGCATCAGCAAATAAAGGCTTGCCTATGGTATCGGCAATAAGACTCAGGCCCTTCCCAGTCCAGAATTAAAGGAGGACTCCATAGAGTTTGATCCACCTAGGAAAGGAGGATGGGGGATTTGTAGTGGTGCTTTGATTCTCACTCAATTTTCAGAGGATGAGATGTTGTCGTCCCATAATCGATGGACCACCAACCAAAACCTTATTGTAGCAGGTAATATTATCAAAAAGGAGGAAGAATTTCTGTTGATCTGCAAAAACCTCTTTCAACCCAAACTTAGTCCAATATTTCAAAGCTAATGACTTGACTAGTTAAAAAAGAAGTTTTTCTGGTGGAAAAACCCCACAAAGCATGCATTCTATAAGCTGGCTCCTTCCTCAGCTATCTCATATATAGGATCAAGAAGAGTCTCTGTCTCGGTATGGTTGGTAACTATATTGGTAAGATCCACAAATTCAAAGCACATTCCGCTAGTGGAGTTCTGGACTCTATCAGACCAACTCTTCTGAGGATGAGGATAGTGTGAGAGAGTTGTTGTAGCATCTAGTTTTGGGAGATGAGTTGTGACTAGTTGTGGGAGATGGAATGTGTTAGTGGGTAAGCCTGACTCTGCAAGTGGTTCAGAGTGCTGATCGAGAACTGCTATTTTGATGAATATAGAGGGTTGTGTGCTGGTCAAAATTAGAAGAGTAAAGATGGGACTTACCCAAAGTAGGGACGAGATTTGAATTTGAATTTGAAAATGGTGGTGGACTCGAGGCTATTCCTCCACGGTGGGTGGATGGTGGCGCGTGAGAAATCATGCCTTTAGAGCTATAAGCAGTGGTGCGTTTACCTGAGCAAGTGCATATTAATTGGAGAGTTTTGTGGCAGTGAAGTCTTCTTAGCCAGATCGGACTGAATTTGAGAAATAGTATTACGTAGGTCTTTCCTCATTTCTTCATCTCTTTCTAGGTTCTCTTGAGCCCATTCCAAATCCTTTGTGAGCCTGATGGGTTCCATGTGTGGATGGGGGAATAGGTGGGTGGTACAGTTGTAAATGTTGTAAAGCGATTATGGAAGATGAAGATGGTTTATTAGGGAGAGTGTGAGATTTAGATAGAGGTTTAAGTTCAGGGGTGGACAGAACATATATATGATGAGCGAATTGTCTCTTAAGAATGCTTTTGGATGATGATGTACCGATAGATTTGCTACGTGGGGGTAAGTGGGTGGTTTAAGGTGGTTGGGAGAGGATTCCGACGAGGAAGAGGAGGTCTCATGATGAAAGCTTGCCTCTCTCTCTTGACGTATTGTCCTCTCATTAGTATTGATTGTTGTTGATAATACTTTGTAAACCTTTGAGTTCGTAAATGTTAGAATTGATGTTATTCAGTTACCATCGATCCATTCACATGTTCTATAGAACGGTGCTTCACTCCTATTTTCAAATTTAATTATTGGGCTAAATTAATCACAAGTGGGATTCAATTGAAATTTAAAATCCATAAAAGAAAAAAAAAGTATTTAAATTAGTATATTGGCGGCTAAATCACTCTACTACTTTTTATTTTCCTAAATGAAATAATTGGAATTGAAAAAAATAAAATAAAAAAAATAAAAAATTGAATTAATTGGAGAAAATGTACAGTTAATTTCTTTCTTTTCTTTTCTATCTTTGGATTCTTATAAACAATCAACATAAAATACAGGATTAAGAAAAGTCTCCATATTAATTTCTAGATGGCCCGGGACAAGATGAGGACATCTGATTTGTGAAATCAGATTGCATGCAACTTGGTAGCATTAATTAAGAAAAAAATATATATATCCATTATTTTTCTTGCCCCACTTAGATATGATGCCTCTACAGAAACTTGTTGAGCCAGTAACTGCCACGAAGCCATCGAAGTGATCACAGGAGCTACATGAACAATATCACTCTCTTATTGTAACAGTCAATATAAAGTATATTTTGAGATCAAAATGACTAAATTAATTTTTTGTTTTCGGATTGCACAATTATAGTCCCTAATGCCAATCCAACTTTATGAACTCGTAAATCTTATTTATCAAATCCATTTAAAAGTAACAAATTTGTGACCAATTCATGCATGATTAAATTAGCTCTATCAACTGATCATTAATCTTAATTTTTTTCTCTCTTTGATCACTTTGTTTTCTCTCCCTTTTTGGTACTAACCACATGCAGCTTATGGATCATCAGAATAGTTCTCTCTTTGAAGAGTTTGCTGCATATTGTATTCAACCCATGATGAATTGTCCTTAGTTATGGCCTATTTTGTTACTATTAATACCCATGAAATGCATCAAATTTAAAAATATAGAACTCAAATAGAGTACGAGATATGCTAAAGTTCTAATCAATCAATGATTAGTTTGTACATAATATCTTCAAATTATTTTTTAGCATGCAGAAGGAAAATCAAAATCAAAATTCTAAGAAACTAGTAATCGAGATCATCAATTCAAGTCAATGATCAATTCCACATAATATACAATACATATAATATAAAAGCAAAGAAGAGGTTCCGTGGATTAGTCGGGACAAAGTCTTATACAACTCAATTATCGAAAAAAAAAAAATTAAAGAGCAATTAATTATATGTTTATCTGCAGATTTCGAAAAAAAAAAATAAAGCAATTAATCCTTAAAAAGAAACTAGTATTTTGATATTAATGTTTGTACAACTTGCAATACTGACAAAAAAATAAAAACACAGCACTAATCACCATATATCTAGATCTATATAAGAAATATATAATTGATTATCCTTCATTCTCTTTCTGTTTCCATTCCAAACCTATAAATCTGCATGGTGAATACCTAATTTTATATTCGGAAATGGTCTCGAGCTTAGGTGACCAAACTTGCTCTCTAGGCCCAACCAACATATCATAGTGCTTCTTCAACTCTGGTGTGCTACAAAGAAAACTATGGCTAGGGCTAGTACCTGACTCTTCTTTTCCCCCTTCTAGTTCCTTCCCTCTTGTGATAAGCTTAATTATGAACTCCGGCAATACCTTGATCAACACTCTTCCATTTGAGCCCTTTATGTATTCAAATGGGCACCCTTTGAAGTTGACCGGCGCCGGTTTAGGGCTAGCGCCTAGGGCGGCCAGGGAAGAAGCCGACAGCACGTTACATGTGAAGCAATCGAGGGGGAGGACGAGGTAGGTTTGTCCGGTCATGAGCTCGTCGTCGATGGCTAGGGCTGGGATGGGGTGGCCGATGAAGAATGAGTCTGCATGGCACACCATGCGGTCCGGGAACTGGAACATGATCTCTCCGGCTAGCCGTTTTCCGGTGAGAACCCTTGTGGTTCCTTCCCATGAGATTAGCTTCACCAATGAACGTGAATTTGGTTGACAATAACATGGAGTGATCGTATTGCCCATATGAGAGAGGGTTAGGGTTTAGGTTTAGTTGAGTTGCCTAATGATGATGGAGGAAGAGGAAGAGAGAAGTGGTGTTAATTTATAAATACAAGGGAAGGATTGACTTTGAGAAAAGTCTATGTTTGTTTTGTGTGTGTGTTTGTGTGTGTGTGCGTAAGGGCCGGTGGTGGTCAGCGATGCCGGCTTTGAACATTTATGTATCAACTTGCTTGGTGTATACAACAACTATACACATCAACTTGATTTACCTTGGACTTGTTATTACATATGTACATATAAAAAAATCACCATATGCATATAAGTATACATGGAAAATACCTCATGATCTCAGCTTTAATCCACTGTTTTAGAAGTTTTCTCTGTCAAATTGATCGCTATGATTTGGTTGCCTAATTTTGTCTCCTTCTCTCTCTTTATTGCGACACAAGAAACTAGTGATCATAATCAATTGTTATAGTAGAATTAATAGTTAAAATACAATGTATGCAGTCATTTGACATTCTTGTAATAGTTCATATCACCTGGACTTGTTTCGTAGTATCGCTTTTTTAACTTTGTTTTCTGATTTTTAAATTAACTTAAAATTTCCTCTAATTAGTGCTTTCCCCCTAAATCCTCTGATTAGTGTTTTCAAAAACTGTAATTGAAGAAATTTTTTAAAATGCATGCGTTTTCTGACAGTTACTATTCCTTCTATCCCAAAGCTTATGTAATTTTGAAAAGTTTATTGATGTAACTTTTCTAAATTTTTCTTGGATATTTTTAAAATTAGCAATGTATAAATCTTTATACTTTTTTATTTCAAAAGAACATATGTATTGATAGGGTTTGGTAGGTTGGCCTTACCACGACCAGTGTGTCGCGTGTTTAGATTGGAATGATCTAGAAAATTAGATGAGGGGGGACAATTTTGAACAACAATAATGTATAGTGAAGTATTATAAAAAAAAAGGGTAAATATAGTGAGCTAGGCATTCTTAAGATTTTAAGAAAAATTATATATAATTTGTAAATAAAAGAAATTTTAGTGGGGCAATTATTCCACAGGGCCCTTAATATGGTGTGAGGGTTTTGGGTTAATAAAAAACGTATCATATCATTGAACAACTTAAATTTTTGAATTGAATGACAAGTACCTAGCACTTGATAGAGTGAATTGTCAGCAAAATATGATTCGTATGCAAAATATAAAAGAATGGAACCCCTTCTATTTTCTTGTATAATGTAAATATGACCGATCAAAACTATTAGGTCAGACAATTTACTGTAAAACATGTGTTTCATTTTGTCTTTTCCTCATTTTGGAATGGCAACAATATCATTTTCATGCTATGTAATATCATTTTCATGCTATGTTGTGAGGGAAAGGTGATCCTTATTTCATCTTTTTGGAAATATTAGAGTGTTTTTTAACAACAATTTTTTTTATATAATAGGCTGTTTTATTTTTCTCGTCTTTCCCCTTACAAATAAAAATGAAAACAGCTAAAACAAATCAATTCTTCTAAAACGTTTATCATTCTCATAATTAACAACTTTAAAAGTAAAATAAAAAATAAAGTCAACTCCAAAATCCCTAGTTTTTAGTTACCGAAAAAAAATAAAAAAAAAATTCCCTATTTTTAATTGTATCTTATGACTTCAATCCAATAATCATCATATCCAAGTTGAAGTTGACTAGCCACCAATAGACTCTAATCCGCTCAAAATAAACGTTGCCCATTTCAACCATTTTTTGTGTCACTTGTCAGTTGTGACACAAACACGCACTAAACCCAAAAAGTACACAAAACAAACACGCACTAAAAAAACACAGTAAACTAATTCCACGATCTTATCTAATTTTTTTTTATTTCCCCACATTTGGACCTCTTTTTAACTAACAAATGGTTACATCGCAACTCTTCTAACGCCCATTAACCGATAAGATTGAAGCTAACATGACAAAGTTACGTGGATACAAGTATTAAAATTACAAAAAAAAAAAAAAAAAAAAATTATTCCTATTTCACAGAATCACAAACCTTCCATACAAATAAAAATAAGGACAAAGTGAAAAAAACATCCATAATATTTTAATTTTGAATAAATATCACTTCTAAAATATTTTTTAGGTATATAAATGAGTTAAATTTGAAAAATGATCAAAGAATATTTAGAGATCATTATTTGGTTACAAACTGCAAATGACATTTTTAAGATATAAAATTCTAAAAATACTCTTTTTTCTTTCAATAATGGGGAAAAAAAAAAAGGAGCAGTTTAGTCATTTCACATTTAATTATTTTTTACACTTTCTTATTCGGTTACAAAAGGACACTGTCTTTTCAGTATTCAAGTCATTGTTTGCACAAAAATTAAATATTAAGGCTCTGTTTGTTTCGACGTAAAATATTATTTTTAGAAAATATTTTTCTTTTTCAAGTAAAATAATCTTTTATTTTTACTTTGTCGGTGTTTGGCAAAGGTCTATATCGAGTCCATCGGCGGGGCATGTAAAATTACTTACCGAAAATTAATGGATAAATTATTTATGTTAAATTTTAATTTTTTTTTCTTTGTAAATATTTTACGACAACTAAACACAAAAAAATAAAAAATAAAAATATTTTCTGAAAAATATTTTACATCCAAACAAACGGAGCCTAGGTATTTTTCAAAACATATGAGAGGTTATACACCCTATATGTATATCATAAGGGTATTTTCCAATCATAACCTTATAAATAATACAGACTTCATTCATTGTACAATAGATGTACAAAATTTCTTGGGTTAGTTATTAAATTACATAAATACCCTTAATTCTATTTGCAGTGTTGGCGTTGTATAAGCCTTTCTCAACTCGAATATTTTATTCAACATGAACCCTTAAAAATCATCCAAGAGTTCTTAAACACTTATCATACCATCTTGATTTATCTGATGAGTATAATATTTAGATTGATTATTCTAACCTATTTGTCTAACCAAAGTGATTCTATTCGTAAATTTTACAAATTGATTTGAAATTTCGGTGAGAGAATTATTTTTCCCAATCATTTTGATGGTCATTGACATGAGATCCCTTCACTTTACAAAATGCAATACAACCAAAAACGGACCAGGATCACCTCAAGTCCAACAGTAGCCCATTTTTTTCTTTTTGTATTAATGAACAATAGTTACTAAAGTGGGTAAAAATGTTTATTTATTTTATAAACAAATTATATATATATATAAATATATATATATATGTATATACTGTTCACAAATACTATTTTTCTTCCCTCCCTTATTTTCAGCAACCCAAATCCCGCCATTTTCTTCTCTCCCAAAATATTTATTTTGATTTCTTTCCAAAATCCTGTCATTTCAGCAACCCGAATTTTGATTTCTTTTCAAAATATTATTTCTTTCCAAAATATTTCAGCAACTCAGATTTTGCAGTTTGTGTGGAGATTTGGAACGCGAAAAGGACCATTGATGATATTTCAATCAACCCAAATCCCACCTTGCTTAGATTTGCCCAAAGGTTTCAAGAGAGGTTTTAGGGAAAGAAAGTTTGAGAGAGAAAGAGATCGTTTTTTACTTATTTTCTTCTTCTTCTTTCAAATCTCAATAATTCTTTTTAATTTGTTTCCAAAATGAATCACAAACAAATCACACATCTATTTCTCAATTCTTTTGTTTCCATAAATTTTTCAGATCTATTTCTCCATTCATTTGTGTTCATAAATTTTTACTTCCCTTTGTTCGTATATTAGGTCATTTTATTCTAAATTAACATAGCAATATTGGAATAGAGCAACATCTAGACTGGCATGGTTTTTTTGTTTAATTATTTATGTACTGTAGAACATCCTAAACAGTTTGTAATTTAAGCCAATATAAGTTGTACGCAACATCCCAACATAATCTTTTGTGCATAACATTCCAACAGATTGTAATTTAAGTCAATAGAAGTTGTACGCAACATCCGAACATAATCCTACTTAACATCCCTACCAACCCAACAGTTTGTTATTTAAGTCAGTATAAGTTGTAGGTAACATCCCACCATAATCCTACTTAACATCCCAAGCAATACGTATTTTGTATCTCAAGTAGTACTAACTATATTTCATACTTATGTTATACGTAAAATCCCAACAAAATTTTACTAAAAAGAGTGCAAATCAGTGATATTTGTACTCTTTAATCAGATAAGAAAAAGCAGACCAAAAATCGAGATTTACATGAATAACTCTTAGATCTATGGATGATACTCTGGAATTTCTGTATAATACTCTAGTGAAATTACATGAATTTTTGGAGTGTGTTTGGGTTTTGAAGTAAAACTTTGAAGTTCAAAAGTTACTATGAGTCCTTGGAGAGTTTATTAATGAAAGCTCATAAAGCTTTTAGAGAAAATAGAAAAAGACGGGCGTATTTTGGATATAATATTTAAATGTGTTTATATATATGAAATACAATATTTAAATTTTTTTTTATATAAAATACAAGGGTGTTGAAAATTTAATTACTTAAAATTTTTAATTGATGTGGCCAATTGCCCTCCATTTATTTTAAAATGGTAAAAATGACATATTATTGTGATTTTCACCCAAAACTTCCATTATTGACCAAAATTAAATAAAGCATTGGACTCCTCAACCAAGCTCATAAATGATCGAATCGACCGCTTTGAGTTTCAAAGTTGAGAGGAGGCCGACAATAGAGTCAATGGACTTAATTAAGCTTTTAGTGCGCGTGCCACTGGTCATAGGGCAAATTAATTAGCTTTTCCTATGACTATTCAAACTACTTGTAATCTTTTGTCAATCTAATCGACGACTAACATCCTATCGTTATCATCATCACCATCATTTTTTTTTTTTTTTTTTTAAATTTATATATATATATATATATTTGGGTACATGATGAATTCTCTATTTTTTTTTTTTTTTTTTTTGTCCTAAATTATTTTATCTATTAAATTTCATTTTTAAAATTATTTCTTATCATTTCATTTTACGACTTTACGTGTCTCTCACTTTTCACGTAATGTACCACTTCTCGTGACCTTTTTGGCATATGGCATGACTATTCA